AAGTTGTGGTTGGTTTGTACCCATTGGCATATTACAAACGTCGCGCGAGTAACGGATGGTTAAAAATCTCAAATATGTCACTTATCAAATTTGACACTTCTCAAATGCTGTCGATTACGCTTAATCGGCCGGATAGCCGCTTATTAGGGACAAATCCTAAAGAACGAAAACAAAACCGATCAAATATGAAATGAAACTTTTTATAATTGGGCCAGCTGCTTAAACGGTACAAATATACAACTCCCGATTTGTCCGGATTAAGTGGAATCGACTGTATTTTAAGTGTGACATATGTAAGGTATGGCACTTGTCAAGTACATCAACCATGACACTTGTCAAGTTTTACGATATGCGGTAAAACTTTACAATTTACTTGGACGTATTTTATCCGTACCAAAACTAAAAGTTGTTTACTAATTTAAGCAATGAAATGTTACATAGGTCATGTATACATATTTTTATAGTATTTCATATTATGTCAAAAATTAGGTTAAAAATTTAAGTATGACATATGTCAAGTATGTCAATCATGACACTTGTCAACTAAAAGTTGTTTACTAGTCTAAACAAGTAACATTCCATAGGTCATGTATACGTATCTTTAAAGTATTTCGTATTTGCAATTATTAACTAAAAATTTATATTATTACAATTGCATTAGTTTTTTTTTTATAGATAGATATATAAATTTTGTTTTCGGTATATATTTCCATATATTTTATATGGGCAGTTTTCTATAATCTCATGTTGTGCGTGTGACACATTTCAGGAGTGAATAATGTAGCCATCGGGCTAAAATTATGATAGCTAAAGGAGGGCGCGTGGACCATTATTCAATAGCAAAACCAATTTGCACCGAACCCAGAAACACTTTATACGTTTCCAAGTGTAGATTTATTCGAATCAACAGACATTCCAAATAATGGTTTTAATATTATAATTTTTCATCTTGTGCATTTTTTGCAATAATTAATTGTTTTACGTATATTTAAGCAAAACAAATAGTGCTGCAACTTTATTATTATAAAATATATTTATTATTAAAACTATAAATAAAATTTTTAAATATGACAAAAGTTTAAATTATTTATTAAAATTAACATCATAATTCCCATATTTATATACGAAATTATGATGTTAATAAACCAGTATTTACAGAATGAAAATTATTTAGTTTTAGAACAAAGATTAGTATAAATATTTTATAAATTAATATTTAAAAAAGTCAATATTTATTATTTAAAAAACAAAATGTTAATAGAAAAATGTAATGTTGAAAATATGAAATGAGAGAACCTTGATTATTGATTTATCTTTATTTCCGTGTAATTATGAATATCAATTACGTTTCTGTTGTTTTCATGAGTAATTCTATTGTATCAAATTAAAATGTAACAAGGTATGTAAACACTATACGAATTGTGTATCATTTTTATTTGTATTATATGATTTAATGCAAATTTTCTACAAAAATAACTTTCTTATCCAGTTTCAAACAATCCGGTATATAGACGGAACTAACTACCAATAACTTATGTCTTATTATAATATATGACTATATTTAGTTCTTTATAGTTAAACCAGAAAAAGTTTTTCATTCATAAATAAATCATTTTAAAAATTACGCGCAATTAATCATTCATTCATTAACTTTTTTCCAAATTACGATATTAAAATAATTAACAACTTTATTAACACAGATATATAAACACAAATTAGATTGAGACATTATTCAAATTTAATCATTTATTCATTGCCCAATTTTCCTCCAAATATAATCGGATTATGTTATTAAAGAAACAAACAAGAAATGATTAAAAATCCATATTTTTAATTGAAATTACTCAATTACGCCTACTTATACATAATAATAATAGTTAACCGTTGGCTGTGCTTAAAGAATTGGTATAAATTACAAAATTTTATGTTGAAATTGGTGCAAAGTGATCGACCTTTCCATTTTATGTAAATTGTAATTCGGGATTTATCGAAATCCCTAAGAAATTACCTTCGAACCGTCTCGTTTCACTGTCAAGGATGCTAATTGAATAATTTATAGATTGGAACCGGATTTAATTGCGAATTACGCAACATTCCGCAATCCACCTACGGCGCGCCTGCACACACTTAAAAAAATGCATACCGTTTTCTTATTGTTTTTACAAACAATTCTATTCGATTTATTGTCTTAACAGAAATATACAAATTTAAACAATTAATTAACAATATTAAGTATTTAGACATGTTATTTGAATTAAGAAATGGATAAAATTTCTAGTAAAAAATATCTACTGTTTTTACTTGATTTCCATGAATTCTCTTCAAGACATTGATTATGGGAAAAACAAAATTTCAATTAATTAATGACGAAAAATATTGTGTTGAGAAATGAAATTCTAATTGGAAATATTTGAAATGTTTTCTAAAAAAATTGTATCTATTTTTCTCATGTTTACCATCAATTTTATTAAGGAATATGAAAAATGTAGAAGATAAAACTAAAAAAGAAAATTGTGTTTCGGAATGTAAATTACTAAAAGATTTGATATCAATAATAGTATGAAAATATTTCTATTAAAAAAATACTATTGTTTCCATATTGATTTTCTATTATATTTTTTTTCAATTTATATCTTAATGAAGATGATATTAAGTCTTTTTAGTTTAAAACTTAAAACTTAAATATATTTGAACTTTTCTAATAATTAATCATATTACAAACTTTATATAGACATATTTCATTTTGAATATGTAAAATATACATAAATAAAAAAAAACAATTAGTAGAGGTATTTGTCTCATGTAATGCATGTATTAAAATTTGATATTTTACAAGAGGCTTGTGAAACTTATTGCTTGTGGCCCAACTTATAAACTTTATAAGATTTAGACTAAACACACTATTAGGTATCCTCAGCGTTAGTGTATTTTAAGTGTAGTAAATAAATGCATTTACATGTGCATTTTAGTTGAAAATAAATATAATTTGTTTAATTATTTCAAATAAAATCCATAATTATGTACTTTTTATTTACTTTTTTAATACTTTGCTGTAATTAAAGTAATGAATGAATTATAGATTACAATGCAATAGAATACATTTCTTTCCTTTCACATACTCGTTGGAATTCCAATTAAATATAATTATTATGTATTGCAATGAAACGAATATTTTATTCATTGTTTTAATAATGCACAGGAAATTGTGTTTAAATGTTTCCCAAAAATCATTTAAATCAAGTACAAACTGTGCTCTCATTAATTCAATTAATAAAACGCAAACTGGAAATCAATTTTGTTTAATTTAGAGCTTTAACCTAAATCAGTGAATAGATTTAACAAATTTATTTAATCATTAATTTCCTTTGTTTACCAAATATTTCGTCTCTATTTATTTACCTTTGCAAATTGTACTTACTTGTTCAATCTATTTAATTATATATGCAAAGAAAAACATAGATAATTTTATTTTTGTTGAAAATATGTCAATATGTTTTCCAGAAAAATATGTAATACAAATTTTGAAATTAATTTATAGAAACCTTAAAAAATATTTTGTATATATATTTTTTTGTCTATACCAGGGGTGGCCAGACTTTTTGCATCAAGAACCGCACCTAAACTTTTTGGTATAATAATTTTTAAAAAATCTCAGTCATAATATAATATATGTAATGTTTGTGTTTTATTGTGGCTCAACTAGCCACAACAAGACTTTTGAAGAGCCGCATGCGGCTCGCGAGCCACAGTTTGGCACCCCTGATATATACTATAAATTTTACTTTGCTTATATAAAAATGATACATTATCTAAATCACTATAGTAAATATATATGATATAATTATTTTAGTTGTTAATTTCATCAATATATCATGTTTTCTCTCTAGTAAAAAGCATCAATAATTACTAAATATTTAATAGTTTATTTATGTACAAAAGTTACTTATAATATCATTAAATCTTAAATTAGTTTTCCAAATTTTTCTGATACTTGTTATATACTTGTTCATAAAAAGATGTTGCTTTCATAGAATTATATAAAATAAGTGGAATAAATATTTCTGAGCAAAAAAAAGTAGTGAATGATAATGTAAGTATGCAAAAGTTTTATATAATGCAACTTGATAGAAAAAATATGTAAAAACTGTACTTGTTGCAAATACCAATCTAGATTAGCAGAAATAATTGTAGTTAGATAATAATAATTTATTATATATATATAAATAAAAAATACCTTTTAATAATTAATTTCTATTAATTTTACTATTATTTCTAATAATGATTAAAAAATGTAGTAAAAAGTTGTTAATGTTATTTTTTGTACCATTATGAATAAAATTATATTGTAAAGATAAAACGTTAATATCTCAATTAATTATAAAATAAAAATCATTCAGTTAATAAAATTTCATTAACTAAAATACTTTTTTTTATACTATTTAATGAACTAAATTAAAAAAAAATGTATAATGTTATTACCATGATTCTATTTTTATCGATCAAAGAATTATATAAAAAAAAGTGTGGGTGTGTCTGAACCTATTATATTATTTTTTCTTTGTTACTAATGAGTTGTATAAAGTGAAATGTTATATGACATTGGTCCAAATGCATTCCATTTTGAAGGGATGCAAAAACTTATTTTTTTTATATTAATTTCCAAAAATATGTTTTAATGACTCTCTAAAAACCATGAAAATTTAAACTTTCTTTGACATTATTTAAAATTCTTTTTATTTTTGAAGCAATGAAACAATGAATTCTAAGACAACTTAGAAAAAAAAATAGTATTTTTTTACAATATTTAGTTTAATTTTATTAATATTTTTTTTATAAAATATTATTTAAAAAAAATCAAACTAATGAGTTAGTACGTATTCCACACCTCGTGTATAATAAATCAATCAAAACTAATCAGTTGTAACAAATCAGTTCGTAATAACTTGTTGCAATTAGTTTCACTATCCATTAATAATGTAATAATAACAGAAAAAAATTACCTTTCGAATGTTCGTTGAAAGTTAAATCAAATGCGTTTTCAAACCGGATTTGGAAAGATTGAAAAAAAAAAACAAAAAGGAAATCAGACACGGGGATAAAACTGAAATCACACTTTCGGGCTTCACGACTTCTTGATCTCAAGTTGCGATTAGTTTGTCTTGTAACGGAGGAGAGGTGTGAGTTGACGACTGGAAGGTACAGCCGTGACTGGTCTGGATTTGGTAAACAACGCGGAAAGGAAAAGGAGAGCCCCAGACCGAACCATAGGAGAGAATTACCAAATGCAAAAATACAAACGAAAGAAGAAGGTGATGAAAGAGTGAAAAATGAAAAAGACAAATTTTGGACAGACGGAATAAAAAAAATATATAAATAAATAAGAAAAGAACAAATGGTAATACGACAAACAATAAGAAGAGTAAATGGAATTATAATAAAAAGAACAAATGGAATTACAATAAATAAGAAGGAAAAAAAAAGCAGGAATCAAGTTCAAGAGTGTGGGTAAATCCCATCTACATATACGTTTCTTTTTATATGTGTGTATGTATTTATGTGTGTCCGTGCGTGGACTTGCTCAAAAAGTTTTCTGCAATCTGCCCCGGGCTGTGTGAGAACAGAAGGCCATTGGAATGTCCCACGAATGTGTAATTTAGACATTTAATTTTTAACATAAATTAAATAACGTATTTATACGCATACGAAACTATTGGGAACGATCGTGCATTTCTTTTCACTTTTCGTTAAACAATAAAACAATAACCTCATCATCAACGTTTTACCACATTACATTCGCCCGTACTGATGTAAATATTGAAGTGTTAAACTCAATTAAAAATGTAAAATAATTATTAACCCATTACGGGTCAAAATGACCTGAATATTAAATATTTAAAAATTGGAACAAATTATTAATTTTTATAAGAAACACAGATTAATTCCTATTATTTAATGAATTTTTATACGTCATTTCAATCTGAGCAGTTTTTGAGCAAGTATATGTGACAAAACGTTGCTTTTTACTTGTTGTTCTTGCTTGGACGAAGAAAAAAACACCGCCATAGACGGGTCACTTTGACAGTCTACAATAAAATAAGTACCTCTCGTCGCTCCTACTGAAAAATGCACTCGAAAATACTGGAATAGCTAGAGAAGGTCAACTCTCAGAGTTAAATTGCAATAAAATGAAACAAATATCAGTTGGGTCATTCTGACCCATCAGTAGTACTTACTATACTAATCAAGCTATATAATTAATTATTACATTACCTTTGCTCATACTGATGAAAATATTGAAATATTGAAGTGGTAAACTGAATTGAAAAGACTTATTAAAAAGATTTATTAACTCATAGCTACTACGGACCAGTAAATAAAACACATGTACGAACTATGGGTCAAAATGACCTGATTATTAAATATTTAAAAAATGGAACAAATTATTAATGTTTATAAAAAAACACAGATTAATTCCTATTATTTAATGAATTTTAAAACATCATTTCAAATTGATTTTATTAACATTTTTTTGAGCATTTTTTAACTAACGAAGAAAAAACACATCTTATTTTTGGATATAGGAAGACGTTGTGGATATAGGACGAGATATAGGATGAGGTTGTGTTTGAACAGATATTTTAATCTACATGATATTTGCAATCAGAACTAAAGGCCTATTTGCTAGAGACGGTTCACATAATTAAATTGCAATAAAATAAAACAAATATCAGTTAGGTCATTCTGACCCATTCGTATTACTTATTATACTCATCAATCTGTATAACTAATCTATATATATAAAATATTGAAGTAGTATACTGAATTACAAATATATTTATTAAGTCAAAATTACCAGATTATGAAATATTAAAAAAATAGAAGAAATTATTAATTTTTATAACAAATATACAGATTTGTATCTACTTAATACAACTACATAATCATAACTTCTTTATCGTTTAATTACCTTAACTTCCTTTATAACAATGTTAAAAATGAAGATTTATATAATGAAAGCAATATAGAATGCAATAGTTTTTGTTTTACTTTCTAAATTTTTATTGAATCAAAAAGATATTGACCAACATTTTTGTACCCAGAGATACGTATTAATTTAAAGCATTAAATATTATTAATAAATAATAAATGTATACTTTATAAACTAAAATTGATTTCCAAACAAGTAAAATTACAAAGTTATAAGATTGAACATTTTGACTATAAAATTATCTTTTGTGTATTTTATTAATGTATATTTTTTTACATAAATGAATATAAAAATTACTTATTTATATACATACAAAACGATTAAAAATAACCATGGTCATAAACAGTAAATTCATCATCGTTTCATTCTTTTACCTTCGCACAAACTATTGTAAATATTGAATTTATTTCTTCACACCATAACTTCATCATTATCTATAATAAATTAATTAACATAGAGGTTGAAAAACAATAAGACTGCTGAAAATTAAAAACATTAATTTCCTCTTCAAATCATTAATTTTTACAAATAACAAATTTGAAATTTAAAACAAATAAATGTCATAAGATTTTAATTCGAAACAAATTCATGAAAACAGATTTTATTACAAAACAAACTTCTATTAATTACCAAATTAAATTAATTTCTGATTGTCTATTATAAGAAAGGAACCTTTAATAAATAGAATCTTTTAATGTAAATATACTAAATTTGTTCATAATTTACAAACCTAAACATTTTATCATAATTACACAGATAACAACTAAATAATCAAACAATTTTATCAGAATTTTAGTTAAATTCTATTGCATTTATTAAGTAATGCAATTAATTATCTATTAAATATTTATTATTGATTATTATATAACAATATAATTTGCATAATTAAAAACTCTATATTTAACTAAATCTCTAAGCTAAACATAAATATTTAGTATGCTTACAATCTTTGAATTAATTTGAAAACATTTAATTTGTTTCAAACCGAATTAACACCAATATTTTTATGGTTGTAAAAGATGTAGATTTATGTTTATGTAAATACAATTCCGATACGATATCATTCAGAAAATAATAGTATTCACAAAAATTTCCATGTTTATTAAATTCACTTACGTATTTTGATTGAAATCTTTGAATAATTTGCATGTTAGATTAATTAATCAAAGAAATATTGAAGTTCAAAAATTATTACGATTTATATATACATTAAAATATGTATACATTTTGTACAATTTTCAATTACTTTTAGATTTATATTGTTTATTATAGATCAAAAAGAAATTATAAATTAATATAAATTAAATTATGAAATACATATGATATTTTTCGTTGTTTTATTAAATAAAAATGTAAAAATTAGAATGTTCTTAAATTTACTTTTCATATTTTTATTGAGAGGTATACAAAATCAATACAAAGATTGTTCATAAATTAGTAAAAAATGAGAAATTCGACAATTCATTAATGATACTTAATAGAAATAGACAAACACTTATATAAAATTTTATTTAGATTATTGTAATAAAAACACTGATGATCAAAATATTCAATGCACGATACTTGTCAAGTATTGCGTACTGTGATGCAATACTTGGTAAGTATTGTGCTACAATGCTTTGATTTCTATAAGTGCTATAGTTATTTTTTCAACTATTTGTAATTGAACACACAATCTAATTACAAAGTACTTGACAAGTGCCAAAAATCTTCCATGCTTTTTTTTTTCTTTTCAATATAAATATATTGTAGTTTCTGTTAATTTTGGTAGAAAATGAGAAATTTGACAATTCGTTAATGATACTTACTAGAAATAGACAAAAATGTTCACAAACACTTATATAACATTTTTTTTTCAGATTATTGCAGTAATAAATCTCAAAATACGCAATACTTGCCAAGTATTGTAATAGAACAATATTTCTATTACTTTAATATAACACACAATGTAATTACAAAGTACCAAGTACCAAAAATCTTCCATTTTTCTTTACATTGAAAGTTTCTGCAAATATTATCCGTAATTATGTATATATTATTTAAATAAACTTCCAGAAACTAATCAAAGTTTTTCTTTATCCACTTTGTTTTAAATATATATCAAGTTGTAAATGCTTTCATAAATTTATTAAAAAAAATATAAACTTTTATATTTAATATAATAATATTCGCAAAACTTTTATAATTCCAAATCAAATTTACGTAAATAAAAACTTCATCACTGTTTTTTCCATCATTTGTTGTTTGATTTATTTAAATTTACTCTGCGTATTTCCTTATATTGTGGTTACAAAATCTTCATGATACAAAAACATTGTCAAGAATAATTTATTTTCATAACTTTATCATAACAACACAAAAATAAGCATAACATACATATTAAAGAATTTAAAAAAATAATGAAATACCTTTTTCTATTATAAATTTTGAAAATTAAACAATAAAAAAAACCTATTACAAATCTAATTATGTTGTTTATTTAATCTAAAAAAAAGTAATTATCTTAGATTATTATTTTTTTAATTGAATAATAAAATTAGTTGAGTAACTTTTATCCTTAGTTATAATAGTTTGTAAGCATGTTATCGATTTTATAAAAGCGCAATCGATTCCCATTCGTTCCAAATCCTGTTGGACAGACAGACAGACACATTTAACCTACTTTTTTTGATTACAGGTGCATGATTCATTAAACCAGTATTTTAGATTGTATAACAAAAGCGTATCTGCGTGGCAGTTGTTTTTTTTTTGATGAATCATATTTTGCATTATCTACATCTACAACACAAATAATATATGTACATGACACTTTGAGAAAATAATAATTCAAATATATTTGTTACCTAAAAAAAAAGTCTTATAATTTGAAAATATGAATGAATCGTATAAACATCACTTTTAATTTATGAATACAGCAATACCTCTCATAATGCGGCTTTGATTCAAAATAAGAAAAAAATCGTATAAACCTCACTTTTATTTTATGAATACAGCAATAACTCGCATAGTGCGGTTTTGATTAGTACGGATTCAAAATATGAAAAAAATCGTATAAACCTCACTTTTAGAATGAATGAATTGTATAAACCTCACTTTTACTTTATGTATACAGCAATACCTAGGGTAGTGCGGCTTTGATTAGTCCGGATTCAAAATATGAAAAAAATTGTATAAATCTCACTTTTAGAATGAATGAATTGTATAAACCTC